CAGGTTGGCAGCGAAACGGCTGAACTCGGTCGATGCGAACTGTGGGCCATTGTCGGAGACAATGGAGTCGGGTAGTCCGTGCGTTACAAACAGGCGTGTTAACACGTTGGTGATTGCTAGTGTGGTGGTCGTGGATAGCTGTGCTACGTCAATCCATTTGGAATAGGCGTCCACGACCACTAGGAACATCTTCCCATGCAAGGGGCCGGCCAGGTCGATGTGAATTCTGGACCAAGGGGCGCTGGCGCTTTCCCATCTGGTAGGGGTGGCAATGGGGGGAGCAGGACGGGATTCCTGGCAAACGCTGCAGGAACTTACCCAATTGACAATGTCCTCGTCGAGACCCAGCCACCACACGTAGCTGCGTGCTAATGCCTTCATTCTCACGATGCCAGGGTGTCCCTTGTGCAACGCCTCCAGAACTCGGGTACGCAGTGAGGTCGGAATGACCACTCGAGTGCCCCACAGTAGACAGCCCTGCAAACTTGACAACTCCTGCATGCGAGTCTTGAAAGGTGTGAATTTGTTTTCAACATTGCCACCCGGCCACCCCCTCCTCACCCAGTCAAGCACCTGGGCGAGTGTTTGGTCTGCCCTGGTTTTGGCAGCAATGTCAAGGGCAGTAAGGGGTAGGTCCAACTGGGTGATTTCGAAAATAGTGTGTATAGGCGCAGGGTCTTCAGCCGGAGCCGGTAAGGGGCAGCGACTGAGAGCGTCAGCGTGGGACAGTGTCTTACCCGGGCGGTGTATAAGTCTGTAGGAGTAGGCTGCTAGGAAGAGGGTCCACCTTGTCATCCTAGGGGAAAGGACTTGAGGGGTCTGTTTGTCCCCGGCTAGTAGGCCCAGGAGGGGCTTGTGGTCTGTGACCAGTTCAAAAAAATGGCCAAAGAGAAATTCGTGAAATTTTTTCACGGCTGCAACAGCTGCTAGGGCTTCCTTATCGATCTGGCTGTAGTTGCGCTCCGTGGTGGAGAGCGTTCTTGAGAAAAAGGCGATGGGGGCCTCGGCGCCATTGGGAAGTCTGTGACTAAGGACTGCCCCGATTCCAAAAGGGGATGCGTCTGCTGCCAGCACTAGAGGGAGGCTGGGATCGAATTGAATAAGTACTGCCTCTGACGTGAGTAGTGATTTGACGGCGTGAAAAGCCTGGTCTTCTTTGTGCCCCCAGTGCCAAGGTGACTTTTTATCCAGTAATCTGTGTAGGGGTTCAGCTACTGATGCTTTATGGGGCAAGAAGGATGCGTAAAAGTTCAATAGCCCCAAGAAAGCCTGTAGTTCAGTTTTGGAGGTTGGAGTGGGTGCTTCGTGGATTGCCTTAACCTTGGACTCCAGGGGGTGAATGCCAGAGGCGTCAATTTTATAACCCAGAAAGTCCACCTGTCTAGTGGCAATGGCACATTTTTCTTTTTTCAACTTGAGGCCATGCTGTCTGAACCTCTCTAACACTGCTCGAACTCTCTGGAAGAGTTGGGGTCTGTCCCTGGCCGAGACTAAGATGTCGTCGAAGTAGGGTACTACACCAGGGAGGCCCTGTAAAATCCGCTCCATGAGGGATTGAAAAATACCTGGGGCAACACTTACGCCAAATTGGAGACGCTTGCATCGGAAGGCACCCCTGTGAGTGACAATGGTCTGGAGTTCCGCTGTTTGGTTATCAACAGGGAACTGCTGATATGCTTGAGACATGTCCAATTTTGCGAAAATGGTGCCTGGTTTGAATGTGTGTAATAAATGCTGAATGACGGGCACCGGGTACGCGCTAACTTGTAAGAATTTATTGATTGTCATCTTGTAGTCCGAGCAAATTCTCAGGCTACCGTCTTTTTTGAGGGGTGTAACGATGGGCATCTCCCATTTGGCGAAATCTGTTGGCTCAATGACCCCCTGTTTTAATAGTTTATCCAATTCTGCATCAAGTTTTGGCCGAATTGCAAACGGGACCCTGCGCGGTTTTAGCCAGATTGGGACTGCCTGGGGGTCAACTGAGAATGAGATGGGGGTACCGTTATAACACCCGAGCTCCTCGCTGAACACATCTGAGTAATCAGCGAATAAGGAGTCAGTGTCTGAGGTTGAGACAGCATGGACTCCTGTTAGCCCTAGGCCGAGATGGGGAAACCAATCGAGCCCCAATAAGGTGGGTAGATTGCCGTTAACTACCACTAGAGGTAGGTGGCCTTTAAAAGCTCTAAAATTGACAAGGAACTTGCCTCTGCCGATTACAGGAATGGTCTTCCCCTGGTAGTCCTTCAGGCTAAACTGGCATCTCTGGAGCCGGCTAGTGGATAGGCTGGGTTGGAGCCTCTTGAGGGTGTTCCACGAGATTATTGAGAGCGCTGACCCTGTGTCCACCTCCATGCAGCACGGTTTACCTTCTAGGGAAACGGAGAGAGAAATTTTACTAACAGTGTGGCGCATGTGCTTGGCAAGGTGGTGCGTGCGACAGTTCAATACTTGCCTCTGTGGTCCCGAGTGTGAGGGGGGGTGTCTTTGTGCTGTGCTTTGGGGGGCTTGGCAGACTCTCGCGATGTGTCCCCTTTTATGGCAGTTATTGCAGGTGGCTCCTTTAAACTTGCAGGTGGCCCTCTGATGAGATCCCCCACAGGCTAGGCACAGGGTGATGTGCTTGGGCGGACCGATGTTTTCTAGTTTGGCTCCTACCTGCGACCGTCTGTCGTTGGAGAGGCGGTGGACGTCGTTTTCTTCACTGATGGCTTCTTCCGCTACCACCTCTTCGGAGTGGACTGGAAGTGATGTCATCTTGGCACTTGGGCCCTGGATTTCGGTGGCTGAGTTCGTTGCCAACTCAGCTGCTAAGGCCTCCTCGACTCCTTGTGTGAGGTTGAGGTCTTTTTTGGCGAGAAGGCGCCTTTGCAGGTGGAGGTCCTTGACCCCGCAGACTAGTTGATCGAGGAGCATGTCCTCCAGGTAGGTTCCAAACCCACAATGCAATGCTGCTGTTCGGAGAGCGGCCATATATTGATTGATGGTCTCCTTGCTCGATTGCTTCCTCATACAGAAGGTGAATCTCCTGGTGATCTGCGAGGGCCTGGGAGCATAGTGGTTAGTTAGGATCTCAAGTAACTCAGACCACGGAACGTTTTTCAGCTCGCAAGGAGCCACGAGTGCCGTAGCAGTATCGTAGACGGTGGCTCCACAGTAGATTAGGAAATAGGATTTTTTCCGATGCTCTCCCGCATCCGCCAGGCCGACCGCATCAGTATAATGATTAAAGCAGTTCTTATACGATTCCCACTTCTCTTCGTCTGGCTTGAACGCCGGGAAGACTGGATTGGAACTCATGATGCTGGGACCGGTTGACTACCTGTGGAAAAAAATCTCTCTGGGGCAGCAGACAATGTTTTAGTGCCTGTGGTAGGCAAGTGATTTCAGCTCAGGAGAGGCTTTTCGCGATCCTCTCTTCTCTCTGGGTTAACCACGTTTGGCTGTTAGCCGTTGGCGGCGTTAGGATTCGCACCAGTGTGGGCGTCAGTGACTGGACTACAGCGCTGTGCTGTACCTTTAGGTTTGAAATTCAAATGGCAACCGTTTGAATTTCGCGCCTGATCTGAGCGGCTGCGGCTCGCAGCGCTTCACTTTCCCTGTAGCAGAGCTAACAAGCGGCTACAGACGCTTCTAACTTTCGAACCTGACCGCTTTCTCTGGCTGCGGATCAGCGTTCGCTTCTCTTCGCTTGCTGACCACTTTCTCTGTCAGCGGATCAGCGTTTGCTCTTTTTGTTTGCTCTTTCGTCTGCTGACCGCTCTCTCTGGCTGCGGATCGGCGGCTAGTGACTCAGCGGTTGCATGGTGCTTCTGGTAGCCATCCCATCCTCGTCGCCAGTGTTAAGTTTGGGAAAGGAGAGGCTGGACCAGAGCATGAGTGCAACAAATACTTTATTATAACAATAAAGGGCTGACCGTGCTTGCCACGCCTGGAAACTGGCTCGCAGCAATCAGCAACGGGTTAGACCCCGCAGCCTGCTTTTATAGCTGGCTGCTGGGGAGAACCAACCAATGAGGGGAGGGAAGAACGCCCACTCAAAGTGAATGGACCTGAGTGAGAACTCCTATAGTTCTCAGGACATAACAGTATTCTTTGCATGCATTACTCAGAATGCTGACAGGATGAGAAACAGTCTTGTTGCCATTACCATTCCATCCCAGCTGTCTCTCTTTCCTATGCCTATAGACCACCGGGGCTTTGTGGAAGTTTCGTAGGCAGCTTCGGTATCTTCGATGGGGTGCACCGAGTCAGTATCTGGCTGGGTAACTGTCGACATTTCTCGCCAGCATTTGGCTTCCCCTTGGTCCTTGCTGTACTCAGACATTTTCCTTTCTTGCAGGGTCCCCTTGGTAGAGTGAAGGTTTTTTTAAAAAAAAAAATTCCTCTCCAGACTGACCTCTATTGCAGACACTGCTTTATGTCAGGCTACAGAACTTTTCCCATTCAATCAACTAGAATGAACTTCTGAAAATGTATCAAAACGTATCAAAAAGGAATCCTTTATTGAGATGAGACAATTCACGTAGGGGTTAAAAGCAGCATCTAATGTCTCTCAGGCATGCAGAGATAGATAAGGGAGTTTAAAACCCCTCCCCTTATCTTGATGTGTATTTAGTAAAACAAAGAGCCACCATGTTAATTCCTACCCCACCCCCTTTTCAGAATGATCTTTTTCAGAGTTTCCCAGGACATTCTCACTGTGGAATTTTTATAGTCTCTTCATCTCCTGGCTATCTCTCTCAGAGGTGATAGGTTCCGGCCATCTGGGTTTCATCTCTCCATTGTATCATTGTGTAGGTTATACAAATTTGAAATAAGATTAAATATATTCAGGTTACATCAAGAAGGATTTCTTTATCAGTCTCCCCCCCTTTTCTTCTTCCATTGAAGAAATGACAGGTATACAGATCTGACAACTTCCAAGTGTCCTTCCAACTCTGTTACTCTGTATTGTGTAAATTAAATAATTTTTGTGTGTGTGCTCTTTTCTGCAGCATTCATGAACAATTTCTGTCCAACTCACCCAGCAGTCATTTTGTAGAAATCCTTAAGAGATTAAGAGAATTACAGTTATTTCTCTGCAAACTACCTGAAAATGTAGAGAAAGTGCTATGCGAAGGGCTCCGACATCTAGACTGTAAAGTAAAAAAACTAAGGTGAGTGATCACTGTTTGATGTACTTTTTCTTGACTGTTTGTGCTCTGGAGATATATCCCGGAGAGGCATCATTTGCCATATAGACCCATATTCTGCAATTCATTGTACAGTCCATGCTTGTTTTTGAAGGAATAATTGTAATATTTTGCACTTTTTGCTACAGGCTTGAGGGAAAGTTCCTGAAGGAATCCTTCTGTAGATCTTTTGCTGAAATACTCAGTGAACAAACGAGATTGAGAGAGTTGGATTTACTATCCAATGACACAAATAACGAAGCAGTGAAAATGTTATGTGAGGGGCTCAAACATCGAAACTGTAATGTAGAAAAACTAGGGTGAGTGATCAGTGTTTCTTTTTCAGTTTGATATATGTTATTTTCTCTTGTGTGCTTATCTTTCAGAAATATAGCCAGGGAGTGAAATCAATTGCTGTATATAACCACATTCTCTTCAATTTTTTACAAAACACAATCCATGCTTGCTTTTCAAGAAATAATTGTAGCATTTTGCACTTTTCCTTACAGACTTGGTGGAAAGTTTCTTACTGAATTTTTCAGCAGTCATCTTTCAGGTGTATTCAGAAAATGTCAAAGACTGAAAGAGTTAGAGTTGTTTCCCATCAACAATATTGATACAGTAATGGAAGTGCTTTGTAAAGGGCTCAAATATTCAGACTGTAAATTAGAAGTACTACGGTGAGTAAACAGTGTTTTTTAATTTGATTTATGTTATTTCTCTTAAACGATTCTGTTCTAGAAATATATCCTCAGGGAAGCAATTTTAATACATTATATAATCATATTTTCTATGGCTGCTTCAAGACTAGAGTTCATGTTTCTTTTCAAAAATGTTATTCTAATTCAGGCTTTGTGAAGTGTCTGTCAAAGAGCCACTGTAGGGATCTTGCTGAAGTACTTGGGAAAAACAGTCACTGAGAGAGTTAGTGTTGTTTGTCCACATTAAGGATGAAAATGGGTGGGGAGGGCCAATGGAGGAGGAAAGCTGGCTGTAAATGGTCTGAAACAGGTGGTTAGGGCAAAGGAGGCACAGCCGAGGAGTCCTTGACTAAATATCCTAAACCCCAAGTATTATCAAGGGAACTCAACACAACCAGTTGTGGGATTCAGCCAGTTCACACTGGTTTGGGAGAACCGTTAGTTAATTTTCTAAGCAGTATGGAGAAATCTCCTTCCAACAACCTTTTGTTTTTCCCACCTTACAGGGTTAATCCTATCAGGAAGGTAGGAAGAAGACATTCTGGTGCGCCTCCTTGTGTTGTATTTTTTATTTATTTGTCAATTTGTCAATTGCTTACAAGATAATAGGTATAAGTGAAAACATAGTTATGAATACATGGATATATATAAGAAAAATAAAAAATAAAAGAAACAAGATTAATCCTGCTTATCTTTAAGTGTTTTCTGAAATTGCCTCTGAGTTAACCCTTGTTACATTAATAACAGAAGTTAATGGTTCTTGGCAGTATGCCCAGACTTTCTGTAGCCTGAGTGGCTTCTCTAGTTTTTTTTTTCTTTTGATGGTACTTTTATTAGGGGCTTGACTCTTTTTATTATTATTATTAAATTTTACACTTTTAAAAACAATATATACAATTTTTGCAGCAAGTTGTGGCATTGACTTTTCCATTTTCGTTTACATACATACATACATATCATTTACATTTACATTTACATTTAACACTATCTTTTATTCCTGTTGTCTAACCAAACATACCATTTTTCCCAGACCATTTTCTTCCTTCCCCTGCAATTCCATTGTAAGTTTATTCATTTCTGCAAAATCCATATCATATTAACTGTGGGACTACTCTCTAATTTCCAATTTGGGGCATACATTATTCTAGGTGCTATCAATATATGTTATATATTCAATGTCCCTCTTGTTTTCACCTCTGATCATCCCTAATAAGAACATTTCAGGCTTAAGTTCTATTTTTAAACCGATTATTTCTTGCAGCCAGATCCTTATTTTATTCCAAAATTTCTTTGCTTTAGAACAAGGCCACCACATGTGAAAGAAGGTACCAGGTTTCTTTTTGCATTTCCAACATACCGGGTTTAAATATGGGTAAATTTTGGCCAATCTCGCTGGTGCTAGGTGCCAACGATAGAACATTTTGTAGAGACTTTCTTTGTACGTGGCTGCTATTGTTAATTTATAGTATTTCATCCAAAGTTTTCCCCAATCTTCTAATTGTATATTATGTCTGAAGTTTTTCATCCAAGCAATCATTGTTTGTTTCACTACCTCGTCTTCTCTGTCAAATTTTAGAAGGTAGCTATACATTTTAGTTATAAATTTTCTGTCTGGTCCTAATAAGATTTTTATCAATTTGTTGTGGTGTTCTATCTATGCCAAATTCTTCTATATCTTTTTTGTATTTTGTTTGTAACAGCAAATAGGGCCACCAGTCTACCATTATTCCTTTTTCCCTCAATTTTTAGTTCATCTTTAAATTTCTTTGGTTGTCTAGTAGTTGGTTGTATCTAATCATTTTGGTTATATCCAAAGTATTTGGATAAATCATTGCTTCCATAGTCGAAAGCCAGCCTGGTATCTTAATATAGTGGTTTTTCCTAATTTTACTCCAAATCTCTAGTGATGCATCTCTAATTAAATGTTTTTTGAAATGTGAATATGTCTTGTTTTTCTTCTCCCACAAAATGGCATGCCACCCAATTTGTAAATTATGGCCTTCTAGGGTTAATATTCTCTTATTATTTAGGGATATCCATTCTTTAATCCATATTAGTGCGGCTGCCTGGTGATATAATTCCCAATCAGGGAGTGCTACCTCTATTTCAGTTATCTTGCAATAGTTTTAATCTTATTTGGGAGTTTTCTCCCTCCCATATAAATTTGGTTACTATCTTATTTAATTCCCCATTAAAAATTATTTAATTTTACAGGAACTATCTGGAATAAGTATAACCATCTTGGTAACAAGTTCATCTTTATTGCGTCAATCCTTCCTACTAAAGATAGCTGCAGTTTTCCCCATATTTCTAAACCTTTCTTCGTCTGATTCATTAATTTATCATGATTGTCCTCTTTTAATGATGAACATCTTGCTGTCAACCAAATTACCTAAATATTTAATTTTATTTCTAATTTGCAGCTCTGTTTCCTTTTCTAATTCTCTTTTTTGGTGCTCTGTAAGATTTTTGACTAGTATTTTAGTTTTATTTTTGTTAATTTTAAGGCCTGCTACTTTACTTTCTATTTCATTTAGTAATATTTTCCTGACCTCATTCGGATTTTCTATAAAGAATACCATGTCCTCCGCAAACGCCTGCATTTTATATTCTTCCTTTTTATTTTGGTTCCTGTAATTTCCTTTTTATTCCTAATCTGTGTTAACAAATTTCTATTGCAAGAATAAAGATTAGAGGTGACAGTGGACAACCCTGTCTCACTCCTTTGGCTATATGAAATCTTTCAGTAAAGTCACTGTTAACCATTACATTAGCTTTCTGCCTGGAATAAATTTCTGTTACCATCTTTTCAAAATTTGGCCCAAACTTCATCTCTTTTATTTGATATAGAAAAAATTCCCAATTTAGATTATCAAAAGCTTTTTGTGCACCCAGAAAAATCAATGCTGCTTGTTTCTCTGGATGCGCTTCATAGAATTCCAATATATCCATTGCTGTCCTAATATTATTTCTAATTGTCTTTTGGGGAGGAAGCCATTTTGATCCGAGTGTATTATTTCATTCAAGACCTTTTTCATTCTTTCTGCTATTATTGTCATCAATATTTTATAATCAGCATCTAGCAGTGAGATTGGCCTATAATTCTGAACTTGAGAGTGGTCGGTACCTTCTTTTGGTATAAGTATTACGTACGTTTCTCCCCATGATTTGGTAATTTTGCTTTTAATAATGCTTTATTGTATACCTCTAACAATAATGGTTTCATGCATAGCCTTGTAAAAATCCCCTGGGATCCCATTTGGGCCTGGAGTTTTTTTTCCGTTTGTGGATTGCTTTTTCTAATTCTGTCTGTATTATTTTCTTATCCAGCAATTCTTTGTTCTCTTCTGTAATTGGTGGCAAACTATTCTCTTTAAGATATTGCTTAAAGGGGCTTGACTTTTGTTGGGTATAACAATGATACACCAACTAAGTTTGGGTGAATAAATA